CGCGCCACGTTTCCGAGCATACCCCCCCCCCGGCTTTATGTGCTTAGAACCAAACTCTGGCATCTAAATCTGGAATTTTCTTGCTGCGCTGACGCATCAGCCCACGTTGGTCCTTGAGATGCTTATGGAAAATGTATTTGTTGGTTTTGTTTTAGATATACATATAAATATATCTATGCACCACCCGTGTGTATCAGTTCAAGGTGGCATATGTAGCCCTCCCTGCTACTTTTTTCCCTACAATAACCCTGTGGGGTTGGCTGGGCTCTGAAAAAGAGTGGCTGGTTCCAAAGAGTGACTATGCCTGCCACGGGACTAGAATAGTGTTTTTCAACCTTGGCCGCTTTAAGATCTGCGGACTTCAACTCCCAGAATTCCCCAGCCAGCCATGCTGGCTGGGGAATTCTGGGAGTTGGTCCACAGATCTTAAAGTGGCCAAGGCTGAGAAACACTGGAGCAGAATCCAGGTCTCCTTGTAGGGCCATCCCCCAAATACATTTACCCCCTATTTACGACCACGTATTTCAATGCCATGTCACCCCACAGGCTGCATCCAGCAAACAGACTGGAAGGCCGGCTTCTAGGATCCTCCAGTTGGCAACTTTCTCAAACTCCCGAGAGCGTCTTTGATGTATTCCGTGATGTTCTGGTTCAGTGTCAGTCATTCCAGAATAACTAAGTTTAACATCTTGCCTTTGGCCAATGTGAAGTAAAAAAAAGGCAAAAAAGAGCATTCCTGCTGGGGAATTCTGGGAGCTGAAGTCCACCCATCTTCAAGCGGTCAAGGTTGAGCAACGCTGTCTTGAACGGTGTTGGAAGAAAGGGGAAGATGCTGCTTTAACACGAGTACAGCCAAGGCGGATTCCTGCCTAGACTGGGGATAAGATGAAGGCAATGTCATGGGGACGTAGCTGAAAAAGATGGAGACTGCCAGGGCCTGCTGGTGTTCTGGGTTGGGGCTAGTGGCCAAAGGCCTATGTCCCATTTAGGATTTACCTTCCTTCCAACTGGCCAGCACAAGGATTAAACTGCCCCCTAGTGGCAGATACGGGCAGTCCTGATACACCAGAAGAGCCCGCCCTACTTTACATTAATTGGTGCCAACATCCAAGACAAGGGTGATCTCTTTTGGTTCAGCACAAGAGAAGAATATCTTTGTCATGGACGTCTCACAGATGGCCACGTTTCCACTAGAGCATCGACCTTGATGACCACCAAAGGCAGGTCAAAGGATCTGACCTGCTGGAAGGTGCTTTCTCCTAGGCACGGATGCCCTGCATGGAGAAAATGAGGGTGTCGTCAGCAAACAGGCGAAACTCAAGAAGTTCTTCATGAAGTTCATGAAGTCAAGAAGTTCTTCATGACATCCTGGATTCCCATGTGCGAGAGATGATGCAAGGGGTGGTCAAGGAGGCAAAGTTTATCTCCAGTCTGAAATCATGCAGCCTGGACCCAAATTTAGCACGTCAGAGAAAATCAGATCTTCCTGCTCCGTTCTTCTGTAATGTGGGGAGGAAATGCATTTGCTCCACAAACAGAGGGGAGGCCAGAACCTCTATTAAACTGATGCTGTTAATCAACCACAGCTATGCATGGTCAGGCAGGGCGAAGACCAGGGGTTTTTAGACTGTGTTCTGCAAAACCTTGGGGTTCCCCAAGACCTTGATGAGGCTAAGGGCAAAATAACAGTAACAAGAAAGTGAATATATTTTTGAACTCACGGCTTCCACATCCTGGAAAAGTTTGAAAACTCCAGCACAGAATATCTAACAAATATGGTATCTTTCACTTAAAAAGAAAAAAGCTGTGGGTTTTTAGACTCCCCTCTGTGTGAACTCACAGAGAAATGTTTTCACATCTTGGTAATGTTTCTGTAGGACTGGGGGAGGCTCTGATAAAACTGAACTGGATGCTGGAATCTGGTTCTCTCCCTGTCAGTTGGCATCTGTGGTCTATACCAGTGTTTCTCAACCTTGGCAACTTTAAGACGTGTGGACTTCAACTCCCAGAATTCCCCAGCCAGCCCTG